GGGATTATTTAACACGAGATGATTTTCTCAGCATATTGAAAAAAAACACTGTGAGAAATCAATCTAAAAGCTGAATATGCTTTACTGAATGACCGATTGTCATGTAAATTATAGGTGATTTGGAGTTGAAGGACTAAATATTCAAAAACATCTGTATTTCCTGCTGAGCTGTCATATAATCAGAAAACGACAAGATAAAGTGAACCTCCTTCAGGCTGAAGTCAGGTAACGGTGGCCATACATTACATCCCTGTGCACGTGAACTGTTTCTGCACGCTGGTTTCATGTGCTTTAAAAGAATTTGAAGATTCTCATGACATGCATGTGATGTGAGAGGAATGGAGGAAACCATACGGTGCATTACTGAACAATTTCCTCCTTGTCCTCCCACAGCGGACGCCATGTTCCACGTCCATACGACCATTCTCCTCCATGCATTCTTTGTGGTTAGCTGGGGTGCATGAACTAAACACTCCTCCTCCCAGAATCATCTCCATGTTTGTCCTTCCCCTCCACTATCACTTCTTTCCCCCCCTAATTCGTCTCTATTTACTCTCCTGTCCTCCTTCACCTCCTCTAAACTCTTCCTCCTTTGCCTCTTCAGTTTGTTCACCTTCATCTTTTCTCCTACTGCATCCATTTCTTTACATGTCCTGTTTCTTCCTCCTAAAGTTGTTTTGCCCTTTTTCCTTATGTCTCCTTTTTGCCTCCTTTGTCTGATCTACTGTCCTCCACCACTGTTTCCTTTGTTCCCTCATTTGTTTCCTCTTCTCTCTTGTCTCTGTTCCTCCTCTTAACCTCCTCTCTTTTCTTTTCCTTACACCTCCTCATGCTTCTGTTTTCTTTGTTTGTCTGTTCTTTTTTGTCTCTTGCTGCGTCTCATTTGTCTCTTGTCCTTTTATTTGTCCTGCCGTCCTGCTATTCTCAGTTTTTGTCCCTCTCTTCTTTTCACATTTCCCTCTCCTTTCTTTTCACTTTACATCCATCATCCATCCTTTGCTCCTCGTCATCCCTCTCCTGTCATGTCCCTCTTTATTCTCTCATCTGCTGTTCGTTGCTCTAACATTACACTGTAACTCTTTTGCCCTTTAACCCTTGTGTTATTTTAACTTTGGCTTTAACTTTGAGCTGTCAGACCTCTTACTAACAAACTATTGTAAAACTGCAGTAAGAGAAATCCAAACAGACGTTTTTCAATCACTGAGGCAGAGCAGGGGAAAGTTGTATCATATGTAACCAGCATTTTACAGCTGGGGTGAGAAGTCAGGTTCTGTAGTCGACTTCTTAGACATGTCATCAAAGTCATCTTTGTAGGCAGTTCCCCGGCTGTAATGTACCAGTGGTGACATGTCATCATATCTCTACTCCACTGTAGGGCTGCACAATATGCAAGAAAAATAATAAATCATATTACCATTACGATTTCAGTTGGAATGGTTGTTTTTTTTTTTTCATTTTATTTTCACTGAAATATTTTTTTAAATGATGAGCTGATTTTTGTTGGTCTTGTACCCAACAAACATGTTCCTTTATGTCTGGAGAGTATGATTTGTAGACCGGGGGCGTCTCTGTCGCTCCACAGCACTTATGTTGCCAACATTGCACAACAGTGTGGTGATACATTTTACCTTTATCAAAGAAATTGCTGCTCCTGCGATTTGGATATTGCACTTGGCCATATTGTGATTTCCATTACATTTTGCTTAATGGTGCAGCTCTACTCCACTGTAATTCAAACTTTTCACTGCACTACATTTATCAGAGTTATTTTAACCGATAAGGATTTTACACCCAAAACCTATAATCACCTTATACATCTATTGTAGTTGAATAAGTTATAATCCAAATGTATAAATATTAGTTAAATCTAACTCCACTTTCAATAACTACAAAGTTAAAATGCTACTTTTTAGAATTTAGGCTAATGAGCTTGTTTTGCTAATTTTACTTGATTGAAACACATCTTCCAGTATAAAATGAATAAACAATGTTAAGTATGTGTTTTAGTGTTACATTTGTCCCATTATCCCCACCTCTGAACACTTGACTGTAACCCAGTGGTTCTCAAAGTGGGGTCAAGGGACCCCCAGAGGTCCTTGAGGGGGTTCAAAAAGTGCAAAAAGGGGAATCATTTATTTTGACTATAATTCCATCCATAAGTAACACAATGACAGAATGTTTTGTTCATGGGTTTCAAACGCTTTCTGTAATAAAACATCTTAAAGCAAAACTCTTATCAGATGGCTCTGTGGTCTCATTTGTGTCAGTTTAGCTCCTTGATGTGAAAAAGTTTGAGAACCCCTGTCTTAACCTGCTATTCTCCATTTATAAGCAGCAGCTATAAACATTAAGCCAATGAATGGTTTACAACTAACATAATGTGGCTGTAAAGAGATTAAAGTGGTTATTACACTGCTACAATGGCACCTCCTCCTGTGAACACTCAAGTGGAGGTTGGTGAATAAACAGACACCATCTATAACTACATCATAGTGAGTGAAATAATTATATAGTGCTTATGAATGCTGACTGGCAGTTAAAGTGTTACCTCACACTCTTCACTTTTCTTTCATTTGTCTCCTCTTCCCTTTCCTCCATCCTTGCCCCTCTCTTTCACTCCTCTCCTCCTTCTGTCTTACTTTTTTCTTTATTTTTTTTTATTCCTTTTAAAATTATGCTCCTCTTGCCTCCTTTTCCTCCCTCCTCCCTCGCCCTCCTCCTCCTCCTTCTTTTATGTTAAAGGCTGTTGCTGCTTGTGAGCTCCCCTTCCTGTATACATACATACACATATATATAATCTGTCAAAGCTCCGATGGCGTGTGCGCGCCTGTGGAAATAGAACATAATTCTGATGAGAAGGAGGAGGGATGGAGGCGCGCACACGAAGCTGAGGGGGGAGGAGGAGGAGGAGGAGGAGGAGCCAGTCAGCCATCCAGCCGCGCGCGCATGCTCGAGACAGCAGGTGCCCGAGCCCTCATTGAAGAAAAAAAAAACTAATTTGCATTGCTAATGAGCTCATCTGAGCCTCCTCCCCCTCCATTTTGGGGGGCAAAAAAAATCTTCTAATATGGCGACATGTTTTTATTCGTCTGCTCCTTTCCCCATCCTTCCAGCAACACACAAAAAACATCAACGAAAAATAATTCATATGGTCATTTTTTGATTATTATAGGATGTATATAGGCTAATAAAATCTGAAACAAAAAGAAAAAAAGTCCACATTCAAATCTTATAGAGACATAAAACACGGAGCATGAAGAAGGTCACTGGACTTTACTGCTGACTAGACCTATTAAATACACACATGAGTCACTGTAGCAATATTATCAAAAACTATCAGAGCACCTTGTTTTATAGTGGACGCGCTTGTGAGGTGATAGTTTGAGTTAATGAGCCGATTTAAACGTGTTTGTCCCCATCACGTTCACCCAGGGAACAATAGACTGAGGCTGAGTGTGACGCCGTGGGGAGACGAGGCAAGACTCAACACACTGCACATGTCACCCCGAAGACTGTTTAATGATCACTTAAGCTAATCAGCCAATGGAGAGGGGTGATAATAATAACAATCAGCAATGGTGATATAAAGAGCAGCGACTGAGGGGCTTCATGGAGGACTTCCACATCATCATCAACAACATCAACAACAACAACAACAGTGAGATGAGCTCACACTGAAATCCCCATTGAGCTAAACAAGTGAAGCGCCAAATTCCCAACAAGCGGAGCCCTTGTCCATTGTGGGGGGGGGGCTGACATACTCCTCCCTTCAGACCTGTCAGTTCTTCACAGGAGGGAAAGATAATATTGTAATAATAATAATAATAATAATAATAATAAATGATGTGTTTAATTGTAAGCGCTGACCTCTTTCACATCTCACACATGGACGCCTGGCTGTGATTATGATGTGCTTTCAGTCTATCTGTCGCCATGTGCGTGCGTTTTTACATGCACTTCATCGAAAATGGCTGAGACCCTCGCACCCCCCCCCCCCCCAACCCCCAACGCGCGCATTGTATAATATTCTTGGTTTTATTGCACTGTTGTTGTTGTTGTTGTCGTTGTTATTGTGGTCGAGGCGCATAAACAACTTCATGCGCCTCTGGATTTCGGTATAGGGCTATTATTCTCCTGCACGCGCTGCAAACACACACACACACACACACACACACACACACACACACACACACACACACACACACAACACCACACGTCGGACGTTGTCAGATGCACAGAGGCAGATTTAACATTTGACCGTATATGTAAACGCCCCTATATTCACAGTATGGAAACAGCTCACACAGAGCAGCTATACGACCCTGCAGGAATAGAACGTCTCCACATGAGATCACAGACACCACAGAGCTCTGTCTGAACATTTAGACATATTGGTTTTATTCCTCTCTGTTGATCCTTCACATTATAAGAGAAAACACACACAAACCCACCGGACCGGAGCCAGCCTGTGTGATTGATCCGGGCTCTGCTGGGATTGATCTGGACCATGTGATTGACCCCAACTGCTTCATCACAGACTGCTCATATCTAAGGTTTTTTTTTTTGTAATACATTTCCAGTTGCTTCCAACAGCAGCCGGATCAACGGTTTTGGGGGCACAATGCGCGCGGCGTCGCCAAACAACAGCCCCGTTTATTGTCCCCCTCCGCCACTAACCACCAACCACCACTCTCTCAACGGACACCCTCAAAACCATGACAAAAACTAAACCGAGGACCCCCACTGTGAACACAGCCTCACCACTCCTACGAGCCTACTACTACTACCAGGTTAATTTGAACGTTAATAGCTAGTTACCCGCCGGCTAATCGCTATTAAGCGTAGTCGCGCGGACCTGTAGCCTCCAACTGCAACCGACTGGGTTAATAAAACGGTTAATTTAAGGGGTGAGAAAAAAAATACATCCAAGGCAGAGGTGAATGCAAACAGCAGAGAGATGATGAGAGCGGAGAATAAATAAATAAATGAGCCAAACAAACCTCTTTTTCGTGCGCGTAAATCCGTTTCCAAGCGCGTGGAGAGAAAGGTAGGCTAATAAGCTTGTTGTTGTGCTGCTGAGGCTAAATCCTACCACCCATCCTCTCTCTGTCTCTCTCTCTCTCTCTCTCCGCGTCTGTGCCTAGGTCTCTCTCTCACTGTCTGTCTTTCTCTCTCTCCTTGCGCGTCTGCGTCTCTCTCTCTCTCTCTCTCTCTCTCTCTCTCTCTCAGCCAATTGTGTGAGATGGAATTGGCGCGAGGGGTCGCGCAGCGGGACGTTAGCAGGTCCTACGTGCACGCGCCGCACACACACACACACACACACACACACACACACACACACACACACACACACATGCATGCACAGGACGCCTTCTACCTTGCTCACTCCCGTATGGTTGCCCTTAGCAACCATGAAGACCACCACCACCACCACCAACCCCGCCCCTCTCCAGAGCCCCCCTCTCCCTAAATTTCATCACCCAGTTAAGGGGCTTAAAGAAAAAATTATCTTCTCGGGGGTTAATTTTCTCGCGGGAGGACAGAGCGTGATGCGCGCGCCAGCTTTTCACACGGGTTAAAAAAAAAGACGGGATTCTGAACGAAAGAAGAGAGAGCCAGACATAGAAAAACAGAAGGAGAGAGAGAGTCAGCAATAGTCTGCGCGCCAACAGCTTACAACTCTCCCTGTGGTGGCTGCTCCATTCACGTTTCAGGCATTGTTTTCTACCAGTGTGTGTGCGTGCGTGAGTGCGTGTGTGTGTGTGAAGGCAAGAGAACAATGGGGGCAAAGCATCAGGGCCAGAAAGAGGAGGGGTGTGAATGGAAAGGGGAACAGAGGGAAGGGTGGGGAGGGGGGCACCTCTTCTTTTACATATCAACCATTCAGAGTAAACTGGAAGAAGATGGAGAGACAGAAACTATGTCCACACAGAGCTGCGTTTAAAGATGCATGTTTTTCTCTCTGCTCTGGCTCCGTCCACACCAGCTCCAGATGTTCACTGGGTCTGACTGTGGTCCATCTGAACTGCAGCTCCATCACATCTTAGTCAGTTCAGTCATCCACTTGAAGGCTAAGTAGAGCATCTTCATTCAGTCATGCAGACACTTCCTACATGGTTTGAAACAGTGCAGGATCAGTGTCCTAACGATGGCGACATTAGATAAAGATGAGGCAGAAGATTCTTCACCAGAGACCATGGTCTGATCTGAGGTCTGTGTTTGAAGGTTTAGAAATAAAGAAAGATTCCTTTAGTTTGAATGTTTGCTGTGTTTATCACGACCACACTTCATCGCTGACTACAAAAATGGCTCCTGTTGTTGATTCAATGTGTTTTTATGACCATTTCTATCGGCTTTGTATCATATTATACTGCAGTCTTTTTATTCTACAAGTCAGTCAGTCAGTCAGTCAGTCAGTCACTCACTCACTCACTCACTCAGTCACTCAGTCACTCACTCACTAAGTTGTTTCAGAGATTATATTCTGTCAATGTGGAACAATACAACAGTTGATATAAAAAATCTACTTATGATACTTAAGTATTTTTTAAAATCAAGTACTCCAGTACTTTAACTCCAGTAAACATCTGACTGAACAACTTTCAATGGTATTGGAGTCATATTTGACCAGGAGGATCTATACTCTGACTCTAGTAATGGAGCTGTGGGCTTTCTCCACCTCTGTATTGGCTGATTCTGCAACATTCAACTTTAAGATCCACAACCAACAACAGCAGCTGACGCAGGAGGCTGTGTCCTTCATAGAGTGGCTCTCTTGCAGGAAACATGCAGTTAAACTTTCACCAAGTGTTTTATTTGCCCAATTCAAACCATACTCTAACCACTCTCTCTATTTGCCATAACTACCATCTTTTTCCCACTCTAATAGTGCGGCAGTCGCCAGGCACAGACATAGCTGAAACCAAGAACTTTAAAAAACGTTGTCACTGAATGTTCAATATATTCATCCAGTGTCCACATTCCAGCTGGTGATAGGTTTGGTTTTACAGTATAATCCAAATACATTTACGGCTCATTTATGATTAATGTCATGACAGATACTTTGCGGCTGCTCTTTACTCCTTTTAATTACCATATGCAGCGAGCTGTCTGATCTTTATTTTGTGGCTGAACTATGCTTATTAAGAAAACTGCCATTCCTCCTCCTGCTCCACAGACTTTTTGTTGTTTGTAGAATAAAATGAAGACAAAGTCAATAACAATTGCAATAATTAAATATTAAATTCATGTTAACCAACAATAAATATTCATATGTGTTATTTCATGTGTCTCTGGCAGAAATACATGTCTCAGGATCACAAACACTATGCTCTGCTTGTTGAGTTTAACTTGGCTTTCTACTGGCTCAGCACAGGTCGGCTGTGACCAACATTTTTTGTGTGATAACCAAAGGCAGACAAAAAAGAAGATATGGTGTGTTCCTGGTGGCCTGGTGTTTTAGTGTGGATGGATGGAGGTCTTCATGAAAACCTGAAAATGCTCGTGTGAAAGCACATCCTTGCTGTGTTTTTAAAAAGTGGCACTGGATTAAAGTGCATGTCATCACAGACGGAGATGTGTCAGCATTGTCCTCCTGTTTGAACTGAAATCAGAGTGAAGTGAGAGACAGAGAGGAATACAGAGAGAGAGAGAGAGATAGACAGAGAGAGAGAGAGAGACTGAGGTGTGTCACTCAGCGTGTCGTTGAGTCTGAAGTCTGAATCTGACGATGACTTGACATGACAGCCAGCAGCCTCCTTTTCTCCTCCTCCTGTTTCCTCTGCTCTCCTCTCACCCCTCCTCTGGCTTCTGAGGGAAGGAAAAGAAATGGGGAAAAGAAAAGGAAAAAAAGGGAAGGAAGAGAGGAGATGAGGAGAGTAGGTGAAGCAGGTGAGATAAGAGGAAGGAAGAGTGTTGGAAAGTCATTTTCTGACCTGATATCTTTACTTTCTCTGTGTTTGCATGTCTTTACCACAGTGACCAGGAAACGCACGCTGCTTTTGCATGGGGAAAAAAACCCAACTTTTTTTAAGGTATAGTAACCAACCTAGTAAATAGCTTTCTGTCTAATGATCCAACCTGACGAATGAATTATTAACTAACTAATCTCTTATCTACAGAAGCACACTGCATTCACATAAAAAAAAAAATAGACACCTTATCTCTTAATTACATGATCCTGATCTCGTCATTAAGGAATGTGGAGTAGGGGCAACAGTCTCCACAATATTAATTCATACCACGCAACTAAAACTATATCACTATATATCACACTAAGTAGCTATGTTTAGCTTAATCTGAACCTACAGGCTACCATTTCATTCAGAAAGTGCCTCGTTCTAATGACTTCCGTACCTATTGACTGATTGACTGACTGACTGACTGACTGACTGACTGAAAAACTAGCCAACGTACAGTGTATTTAATCTATGAAGTAGATACAGGGGAGACATAATGTTGTCAGTAAAATGTGTGGCCCATTTTCCACATCCGGCACATTTGTGTGGGAACATAACCATCACCTGAAGTGGTTCAGTGTTAGAGCAGAGGCTTGTTTTCAGTAATTACACCAATGCCTCAACATTATAATGATCTACTGCTGTCACAACCCTCTGATATTTGCAATATTTTAGGAATTAATGTCAGCTGATCATCTGACATTTTATTATCAATGCTTTGTTCTTCTTGCAGGGCCACGGGGCGGTGACATGACTGTTGCTTCGAATACCTGTTTCACCTGGGGAAAAAGAAAATATCCTCTGCATTTGCTCAGCAACCACTGTCAAGATGCCTTTGAGCAAAGAACCCAACCGAACCCCCAAGAAATCCATTAGAGCTGCTCAGTGACCCACAGTAACAGGTTGCTCCTGCTCAGAGGACACTTCCTGTCTGCAAAAAGGTTAAAAAGAAATTAAAGCCACTCCACTTTTTAAAGATGACATAAAATCCTCTGCTGGCCGATAAAAAATTCACAGATATGTGAAGGCAAGTCAGGCGAGTCACTGCATTCTACTAAGGCTCCATCATATTAAAAAGTGCAGAGAGGAAAAACCTCCAGCTGTAATTCAGCAGCAGGAGTGCTGAGTTAGACTCGTTTCTGCTCCACATCATTGCTGGACTGTCTGCAGATCACTCCATATGTTCACCTAATGAGGCTTTGAGAAGGAGCACCTACCTACACACACACACACACACACACACACACACACACATCCTTGTTTTATTGTATTGGTGGGGACCCATCATTGACATAATGCATTCCCTAGCCTCTTAAACCTAACCTTAACCACTGAGGGCCTGGTATTCACAACCCTAACCTACACTTATCCATAACTTTTTTCCTTAACTAAGGAAACATTTTAAGGGTTTCTGTGCTGCACCCTTAAGTAACTCCCTCAGCTAAGAAGAAATTAAACCTTAAGTGTTATACTTTAGTAGAAAACTTCGTTGTTTTGTGCAACCGGCCACTGACCCTAACCTAGACCTATTCTAACCACAAAACCAAGGGCCGGTTGCACAAAACTGCGACCTTCTGATTAGTGGACGAATTTCTCCTTAGCTGAGGGAGTTACTTAAGGGTGTTGCACAGAATCTAAATGGTAAATGGACTGCATTTATACAGCACTTTTCTAGTTTTTCTCCGATTCACAGCAGTAATAGAGATTTTACAGTGGTAAAATGTTACTGTTTCCATGGAGACTGTTTGTTTGCTGACATTAGCTTGTGATACCTGTTATCAGTTTTGGGAAGCTGGTAACATTAGTGTATGTGTGTGAGTGTCAGTGCGCTGCTATCTCATCCTCCTGTTGTTTTGACGGGAACTTCACCACGGTGTTCGGCAGACAAACAGTGAGTGACCTGACACTGATCTGTGGACGTGACTATACTTGACCAGAAATCTGTAGCATGAAACAGTAGAGCAATCATTGATAAGGAATTAGCTGGAAGAGCACAGCTTCGGAAAGTGGAGTGATCCAACTCTAGAGGGTCAGACAAATCATAAACTGACTGCAGGTCAGATCTGCGATGTAGAATCAGTTTCTCATTGTTAATGGTGTCCATTGGGTTCTCCCAATCTTCCTGGGATGCATTCATCTTCTTGACTTATCACTATAAACT